CTTGAAGTTCTTATGAAGAAGCAGTGAGAGGCTCTCTGGCCAACAGATGCCAAGCAGTGGGCTGAGGTCCTGCAGAGGGGCAAGGCTGCACCCACCCAAGAGAAGCCTATGGGGCTGAGAATGGGGAGACTAGGGAGCTCTGAGCAAGCCCAGGCTCTCAGATGCCAACTGAGGAGGGTGAGAGACAGGTACAGGTACTTCCAGGCCCCATGGTAAGTGGGCACTTGTCCATCTGTGAAGGAAAGAGCTACCAGAGCCCCAGGAAGGAGAGCTGACTACTAATTTTTTAATGGAATTCCCATTGTTGAATTTCAGATCCATTTCCCAGAAAGCCTCAGCTCTGTTATTGGAATGCCCAGTCCTTCAGTTGGGATGCTGGTTTCCTGAGGTCAGCTCTGACCCTCAGCTTCCATCTCAGAAGCCTTGGTCTGGGTCCACCAGGGTTTTACATGTGGAGCTAAATGGCAGGTGCTACTCTGGGGGAACTCACCCTTCCTCTGTCTTGGCTGGTCCATGCTAGCCTTTGAAGAGAGAAAAAAAAGTCTCTGAAATGAGGACTTGTGGGAGTAGCTGTTGACATCCTGACTGGGGCATCTTCATTGTCTTTGAGTTGCCCTCATTTCTCTCCCTCTGTGTTTTGAAGAACAGCAAGTTTGGAACAGCCCTCAGGAGTTGATTCTTCAATCTCCATGGAATGCAGATGCCAGGTGAAAATGAATCAAAAAGGGCAGCAAGCACAGTGCTTCAAGCCCAGCTCTGCAGCACAGTCTCTCCTCCGTGCCAGCATTGAAGCTTTGGCATCCCCTCTCTTCCTATGTTTCCGTGCCAGGAAAAGCAGCCCACCACCTGATCAGCAGAGGAAAGGAATGCACAGGGCTCAGGCAGTCCGACTGCCAGCAAGACAGCTTGTGCCCCACGGGGGGCCGGAAGGGGGACTTGGAGATCATTTGGGGATTTCAGGAAAGAACATTCTCCAGGCATTCTGCAACACTGGGCAAGCACAGCCACAGTGGTGTGAGCGTCCAGGAGCCCCACACCAGATATCCACCAGTACCCCAGATAGCTGGTTGGTGTAGGAAATTCCACTCTCCCATTTCAAAGACTGAGAGGCCCTTTTTCACAAAGATAGGAGAAAAATCCAGCCTAGCTTTCATGCTTAGTCATCAAGGGCAGAGAGAAGAATAAATAGATTGGCTTTTAGTCACAGCTGAATCCTAGGTGGAAGGCCCAGGTTTAACACCAAGGGGTTTATACTCTGCTCGACCTGGACTTCACTCATAAAAATAGGCAAACATCTGAATACCAAGCTTGAGCCCAAGCCTGTGGTAGCTCTCAGTGTCCTTGCAAGGAATGGGCACAGCTCCAGAAATCATTGCCTACATTGGAGGTTTGGGATAGTGGTCTGCATGGCCCAGATGTTTGGGTGTTGTCCCCAGTTCCCCAGCGCTGAAGATAGAACCTCCATTTTTTGGTAACAGCTTTACTGAGATAAAATTCATATGTAAGTCATTCTTTTAAAGTGTATACTTCAGTTGTTTTAGTCTATCCACAGAATTGTGCAACCATCATCAGTCAATCTTAGAACATTTTAATTTTTTTAAAGACTTAAAAATTTATTTTTAGAGAGAGGGGAAAGGAGGGAGAAAGAGAGAAACATCAATCGGTTGCTTCCTGCATGACCCCAACTGGAGGCCTGGCCTGCAACCCAGGCATGTGCCCTGACAGGGAATCGAGCCAGCAAGTTTTTGGTTTGCAGGCTGGCACTCAATCCACTGAGCCACACCAGCCAGGACAGTCAAAGAACATTTTAATCACTCAAAGGAATCTATTTTCCCATCAACAATCTATTCCTTTTTTTCCCTCAGCCCTTGGAAACCACCAATCTTTCTATCTGTAGAGATTTACCAATTCACTGTACGAAAGTGGAAAGCATGCCTTTCTGCCACATCTCTGTGGCAAAGGCAGATTCAGATTCCCAGGGAATGGTCTTTCTCTGCTGTCGCCCAAATATGAACTTGGGATTCAAAGTATTAATGGGAGGTTGTTGCTGCTGTTTGGATCAAATTTCAACATCTTTGACAAAGAATCTCGTAATGGCTTCACTCTTGAACATTGTTGTAAAATTGGAATGCTGGTAAAACTTCTGTGCATTTTTATTCATTTTCTAGGTAGCAGAAGGTCAAGAAATTTGTGTGATTGAAGCCATGAAAATGCAGAACAGTATGACAGCTGGGAAAACTGGCAAGGTATGTCCCTAAGTTTCCACCCACCCATGCCAACTCTGTGGCAGGAAGCAGAATTTCCACCTTTGATTCTTGGATGGTTAGACCTGAAAAGGGTCATAGACATGATGTCCTCTTACCTCTCCCTCCTGCAGATGGGGACAGTAAGATTGGGAGCTCTTTTCACCCCACACTGGTGTGCCCCTGCCTCATGCACAGGGGGCTTTCCAAAAGACTCTTTATAGTCAGGTAGTCAAAGAACAATTGTTCTTCACCTTAATGGCTTTCAAATTAAGAGGTCTTTAATTTTTAATGCTTACATCTGTCTTAAAGGCAGTTAGTTATCTGAGACTTAGGTGACACAGCAGGAAATGGTTTTAGAGATTGCAAAAATTAATGTAACTCTTCAAGATAATTTCTCCACAAAGAGAACAATTCAATTTTAGATCAAGAGGAGCTGAAAACCCCACAAACACATGTGGGACTTAATGATTTAGGGAGAAAAAAAGATGATGTATTAGTACTGAAACTTATTAAAATTTCTTAAATATACTTTCTTCTTTAAGAAAACAGAAAAGTCCTTTAAAGCATTAATTTCATTATCCTTTCTGCAACGAAAAAGAGACCATTTGTAGTCGAATGATCCTTTCCTGAAGGACTTTTTGGTTTAGAAGTCTGGAGCGAGGTGAGGCAGGGTGGAATGAGGAGAGCAGCATAGGCCGGCTGCGTCTTGCACCATGGCCAAACTGGGAAAATGAGATTGAACCTTGGAAATGATGTGTGCCCTGGCAGAGAGGTACAGTCAGGTCACAGTGAAATATGCATCAGAGAGACACAGTTTCCATCTGTCACCCCCCCCCCCCCCAAAAAAATGAAACTGATGCTCAGAGAACATGCTGAGGGGGATGCCCAGTCCAGTTCCAGCTGGGAGGATGGAGGTCAAGCTGGAGAGGGGCTGCAGACAGCTGTGTCCAGTCTCCACAGATTTGGAAGAGGACAAGGGCAAGATCTGTAGGTATTTTTAGGAGTCTGCTTTCTACATGATTACTTTTCATAAGGTGAACAAGAAAATGTTGCTTTCTGCTCTTGCAAAAGTATTAATTTTTTCCTTGAGATTTTTAACACTGACATTGCATTAGCATCATGAGCTTTCCATCCATAATTTGGCTTCATTTGGGGGGATGCAGAATATATGTCAGATGCATGTCAAAGGACTGTATTGCCAGACTGGGGTACTTAATGCAAAAATGAACCAGCATAGCTCCCTTAAGGAGCAGGGGGCCTGTGTAGGTCAGTGTGTTTTGTGTCCTTAGGGCCTGGGTTTCACAGTGAAGGCTTAGCTGCTCCCTAGTCATCAGGAGCCTAGAACTGTTTTTGGGGTGCTGATGTGCTCTGAGCAAATTTGTACTGTGGCCTGACCCCTGTTAGCTGGGAAAGTCCTCCCTGCTCACCCCATTTCCTCCTACTGGCCATTAGGGTGCACCAGGAATGGCCAGAGCTCCAACCCAGAGGACAAGACCCTGGGGCCTGAGGGGCTGGTGGTTCTTATCTGGGAGGGCCATTTTCCCTGCCATGGAAAAGGTTCACAGTGTAATCACAGCATCATGAAAATACATCCTATATACACACAGAGGTTTCAGATCATAAAAAGCAGCCACTTCAGTGCAAATAGCACCTGCTGAACGAGGCCTTTGAAGTACTCATTGCACAGGTTCACATCGACCTGAGAGAGCCTGGGCTGGAATTCAAGGGGAAGGCCCTTCTAGCCCTCTGGCTCATAGTGGAGCTGCAGGGACACAGGCCAGGGCACTGAACCTGCTGTTGCTGCCATTGTTCCTGTTTTCCACTTACTAGTTCAAACCCATTGTTCATTTTCTCACCTAAGCAAGAAACTCCAAGAAGTCAAATGACTATCTCTTCTCCGTCTAACCCCGTACCCACTTATTTTAAATGTGAACACAATTTGAGGAAACAAACCTGATTAAAATTGGGAGAGGAGTAGAATGAAAGGGCACAATAACATCATCATGGGAGCTCAGTACTTGTTCCACATCACGCCACAAAGTACTATCTGTACTGCCACATACCTTCTGAGTATATAATTTCCCTTGAAAAGGATGTTTACAATCAGGCTAGGGAGTTTCTCTTATTAATTAGTACCAGCTTTGACTCTTGTATAAGTGTTTTGTTTGGGGTTTTTTTTACACTAAGCATTCCATTAACTCTCAGAGAACATTTCTGCAACCTAAAACTACAGAGACTGAGTGGGCTGGGTGAGCTTATCCAGGACCAACACTGGCTCTTAGGATGCTGCCCTTGACCCCTGTGTGTGCCCAGTGCAAGGGCCAGCCAGCAAAAATTGCCTTCCAACAGTGACTCTTAGGACAAGGGCGGGAGAAGGGACGGTGCTGAGTCACAGCCCTGCATGAAGACGTCCCCTGTGCATGAGGTCCCCTCTGTGCAAGCCAAGTGTTCTACCTGTGCTCCAAAGCCTGCCAGGCTGTCTCTTCACTTCCAGAAACGGATGACGAGATTGCTCCCTCCTGTTCTAGTTAATAATTCTTACTAACCCCCTCTTTTTTTTTAAAAAAAAATTCAAGGTGAAATCAGTGCATTGTAAAGCTGGAGACACAGTTGGAGAAGGAGATCTGCTCATGGAACTGCAATGAAGTATTTATAGCCTTTCAGTCATCACCCAGTTTAATTAGCCATTTGTATTATTATTCTTTCACACTCAATTTATCCAAGCATTTTGCAGGAACACCCCTGTGCAGCAGATTTTACATGGTCATATTTATTCCACATATAGTCAAAACCAACATTCTGCCAAAAAATCACCAATGGAAATTTTTATTGATATAAATACTTGTACATATGATTTGTACTTCTGCTGTGAGATTTCCTAGTGTCAAAGTTAAATCAATAAAACTGAGCATTTGTCTAAATATTAGTTTGCCCTTTTTTTCTCTTTTTTTTAATGAAGACAATGTACCTCAGAGGCTATGGGCTTTGCCAGTAGACTTTACATAATAGCATTTCATTGTGATCCTTTAAAAATTTTATATAAATCCCTGCTCTTTGCCTTCAGTTTTATTAAATTAGCATGTGCTACCTCATAATCTGATTACCTACTTCATCCTGGTTGAGGACCTAACTTCTGTTTGTGGTTATTAGTAATTTCTTAAGTCCATTCAACATAGATGATTTTGGAAATCCCTCATCTGTGGCTCTAATGGGCAAGTATGGATCTGCTGGATCCCTGGGGTTGTCACCTAGGGAGAGATGACTCACGTGGTCCCCTCTTTCCCATCCCACAGGGCTCCCTCACCCCAATTGTAGTGGGTGGGGCTGCTACACGCTCATCAGCTGATACCGATCCTTGCCCTGTGTCTTTGTGAAGCAAGTTTCCAATTAAGAAAAAAGGGCTAAAATAATTATCATGTTTTTTGTGCCAGATGCAGTTAGTGATCACAGTCTACCTACTATTAAGTTGAAGAGTAAGTGAACGCTCCCAATGGAGAATGAGGTTACCAAGGATCAGCAGCTGCATTTTCATTTGGTTCTGAAATTCCTAGAATACGTTTCATACTTTGCTAGTAAATAAGCAGAGGCAGTCATGCACTGACTTGAATCTACACTGACAGATCATCAGATGGAGGTGGGTAGTAATTGGTTCTTCGTGCCTTGCTAAAATTATTTTAAGTGCTGTTTATATAAGGAAGCTAAGCTTTCTGTCAAGCCTGAAGAACAAATTACTAATGCATTGGTTCTTCTCCAAAAAGGTCACCCCAAATGCTGCTCCCTTTGGGAAGGAGGGACAGTACCTGGCTGCTGGGCTCTGGGCTTGGGTGAGCTTCCATCTGAAATCAACTGTCTCTGCCAGCAAGTAAGGTGCTCATTATTTTGCTAAATTAGAATGAAAAACACATTCTACCAAATACGTTGGCCCAAGAATAGGGCCCAAAATAGCATCAACACTTTATTTGACTAAAACATCTAGTTTAATTTTAAATGATTATAATCTTTTTAATAAGCTTGATCTAGAAAACTGTGAAGAACAATGTTATATCTACTCCAGAACTACTCTAAAATACAGCATGTCTTTCCTGAGTTTCTTTTACTACATTGAAACATCAAGATCAGATTAAAAAATTTACTGAATCTGACCTGTAGCACCAAGAAAAAAAGAGTAGGGCTGCTAAAATCTAGCTGTAGCACAAAGTCTTTACATTCATTTGAAATGTTTTCTTCAGATTTTAGCAAAGCAAAAAAAGGAGAAAGAAAACTGTGATAACATATGAGTTCTTGACATGTCATTTAGGGGAATTAAAATCCTAAATTTTTCTTATCCAATGCATTCAAGCCCATGGTGCTCTTTAGGCAGCAAGCAATAAAGCAGTATCGGATAGAGAGATTTCAGGGCACAATGTTGTTATCAGTATGTCAGAATTATCTGGGAAATAGGCTGCCACTAAAAAGATTATTTCTTTTTCCACAGATAGAGTTTTACACATATTTGTTTCAAAGGGCATTATAATGCTTTTTCATTCAGTGAGTGCAGACCAAGCTGTGGTAATCTCATAATCATCAGGGCTCTGTTTTTTCTTTGGCTGCTGAGCATTCCTCGAATTTTTATCTGTTTTCCCGTGGATTATAGCGAAGCCCATGTGTCCCCCGAGAGTCGTAATTGTTGTGGTATGGGAGGTGGACCCACTCCGGTGGGTAGGTGGCTGTGCTGTACACAAAGCACTGCAGGGTCCTTTCAGCAGCTGGAGACTCCTGAGGGGTGCTGTGCATGCCTTCCCACTCCAGGACCACAATCCTCACCTGGGTGCGCTGGTATGTGTCTGGGCAGCCTTCAAACTCGTCAAGAAAGTGCAGCATCTGCTCGTCCACACTATAGATCTCCCCGACCACACAGTGGCCATGCCCCGGCAGGTTCAGCAGATGGGGAATGTTATGTTCTCCAGCAATCACTAAGGGGTAAGGCTCCACCGTGTGGCCTCGGCCCTGGAAGGTCGCGCAGCCATTAGTGCCATCCAGCAGGACATTATGGTTGGGCTGGCCTCGCTTCAGGGTTCCATACACAAACACATTGGCCATGTGGGCCAGAGACACTGCAAAGAAGAAAGGAAGCAGACTAGTAGATCTAAGTGCTGCAGAAACAGGCAAGAGGTCTGGTCTTGGTTGGAGTTGGAACTTTGTCTGGGAAGGGCCAGAGTAAATCTTTCAGTTTTGTGCTTCAGCAGCTGTTCCTAACCCCCAGCACAACCCAGCACTGTTCTTCACCAACGTGTGATAGGTTCTGAGGTTCCAGAAAACACCACCCACCCTTTATAATGATTTTCTGAGAAAAGGTGCTCAGTTGAGAACATACTTGCCAGATGGAGAACTGCTGTTTTTCAAAGCAGTTTTCAATCTTTTTAAAAGAACTTTAAAAATTACATAATAAATATTTATTGTACAAAAATAGAAGTAATGACAAGCAAATATAAATGTGTGTGTATAAAAAAGTCACCTGTACTGGGCTACAAGAGATAATTCAGGTTTCAGTACTAAATTTACATTTTAGTCCTGACAGTATGACCCCGCAAACCTTTAATAATAGCACTTTTCAGTGTTCCTTTTTCAAGGTCCTAGAGGGTAATGATGCTTTCCTGTGACTCACTGTGATTTACCACAGCGACCTTGGCTCCAACATGAAGGTAAATATTTACTGCTTGCCAGGGTCTGGGCCTGTTATGTAATTGACAAAAGTGATTTATGTAAAAGTGACTCAAACAGCAATGGAACTTAGAGTTGATCAAGGGTGAGTTCCTCTTCAAAGCCTGGCATCTCACTGCCCTGCTTGCCTAACACTATGTAATACGGCAGGCTTTGGAAATAAGACACCCTGTGCAGCAAAACAAAAGACGCATCCATCTGCCAGCAGCAGCTTACAACCAGCCAGAAACACCTGGAGGGTGATACCCTCTGGACATTAATCACATGATCAAGTGGCCCTGGGAGAAGTCATACTTAGTTCAAAGGTCGTCTACTTTCTTCTCAGCCAACAAGGGCTGGTCTGGGGATCTCATCCGAGCCTTGCCTCACCTCTTCAGGGCACTTAAGGAGGGTGGGCAGTCCAACAGGACTCCCCAGCTGCCTTGGTCTCAGTCGCCAGCCTGTGGAACGTCAAAAGTTCCATGGGTTTCAGGCAAATTGTACTTGGAAAGGCTTGGCCCTGGGGAAAAGAAACACAAGGCCGTCAGACACATGCACTCCGGCATTTGACAACACGGGCACCTTGAACAGGATAAAGACACGATGGGAGCTCCGGTTCTGGTTGTTCTAACAAGGGTGGAAGGAGAGATTTGGATCAGAGTGCACAGCAGCCCTGTGGACCAGGTGTTTGGAAGGAGCTATTCCTGCTTTCTGTCCCCCACACTTGTATCCTGCCTTATAGCTTGATCGCTCAACTCCTTCACGATGCACTCAGGATCTGCAGTTTCTTACCCTCTTCACTACCACCCTCAACCAAGGACCGTCCCCCACCCCCTAAAAGGCCTGCTTCTCCATTCCCTCCTGCCTATTCCCATTGTAGGCCCAGTCAATCTTGGCTGCAAACTGCATGACTTTCCCTGTTAGTGCCAGCTGGCTTGTTGCAACTCATCTCCCTCCAGCCACCGGTGAAATGATACCTGCCCACTCTGGGGCCTTCACAGTCACTACTCCCTCACCCACTCAGTTCTTGCCCCTTTAGATACCTCCCTGAATGGCTGACCTAAAGCAGCAGCACCTACCCATTCCTTCAGTCCTATCATGTCACCCTGATTGGGTCCCTACAATACGTGTTCTCCAAATCACTGCTTATTTTGATCACTGCCAGAACATGAATAGCTGGAAGATAACTTGGACACCATCTACGGAGCTGAGTCTCAGGTTGGTAAGGATGACTAAGGCGGCACACTGGGACAAAACCAGTCACAACTGGAGACCCACCTTCCTCATCAGCTTTTCCCCTTTCATCAGGTTTTTAAAAGTAACATGTCCATACTGTAAAGGTCAAAAGCTTTACAAGAAAAATGAAATTCCCTACCCTTTCCCACTCCTTTGATGAAACACTTCTAAGCTTTTTAACTGTTACATTTAGTATTTATCTCCATATTGTTGGTTATACTATTTCTTGACATTTTAAATCATGTCTTGTCTTTGTACCCCCAAAGCAGGTGAGCATAGGAATTTAAAGCAGAGGCTTTAGAATCAATTTGCCTGGGTCGAAAGCCTGGCTCTACCAGTTTTTAACTGTGACTATAGGCAAACCACTTTATGTTTCTGTGCCTAGGCTTCCTCAACTCTGCAAGGACTAACATCGACCTGCTTTGGAGGACTGTTGTGATGGCTGCACGTGCTGAAACACAAGGGCTTCCTGTGCACGTGGTAAGCCTGTGTTCCAAGTCTGCAGGGTTACCACTGCTATAGAAGTGGTCTACAGCCCAAACACATGTGTAGTCCCTGCCCCATATTCCTCCAACAGACTCACATCATGATTTGGGTCACATCCACATTCAGCATTAGAACTACGTAAACACTGCTCTCAGATAAGGCACATAGTGTACTAGGATTTAATTTCTTTCTTGGACAATGTTTTGTTTTTCTTGGAAAAACAGCTTTAGCTTTTTTTTCCCCCATTCTTCACTTAAGTTTCTGACAATAGTTCAGCCTCACATTTTCTGAAAGCACTATAAAAAATCCTTTCAGCCTTGACTACCCATGGGTTCCATTTTTCCCTAGAGACTTGGCTCCTGGAAGCTGTCCTGTTTCAGCCTGGATATTACTGCCATCAGGGATGTCCCTGGCCAACTGAGGTTTCCCTGAACCCTGTCTCTGGGTCCCATGGCCTCTTCTTGGTTGACTCATTTCACTGAGGCTTATTCTTTCACACCCTTCATTAACAGTATGGTCGGGTAGAGAATTCTAGAAATAATTAACTTAAGAACTTTAAAGGTGTTTCTTCTTTGTCTGCTAATTCTTCAAGTTCTTGCTGAGAAGTCCAGTGATACTGGGATCCAGTTCTTTGCACAGGACTCGAACTTTTCTCTCTGGATACTCTTAAGGTCTTCCTTTGTCCTTTGGATTCTGAAATTGTTAAATGATGTGCCTTCATATTTTTTTTTCTTTTCATTCATTGTGCCAGAAATTTCCATCTGAAAACTCATTATCTTGGATGGTGGGGAATTTTCTTCGCTAGCCTTCCTTCTTGTTCTTTTTCTGGATCTCTAGTATTCAGACATTGCATATCTGGATTCATCTTCCAATGTGCTATTTATATTCTACTATATCTTCCAATTCTTCTCAATTTTTAAATATTTTTGTTATCATATTTATTGCTGAGGTCTTTTTCTTGTTCTCTCATTTCATTAGCATCCTGTTTGTTTACAGCATGATATGCTCTCTCATCATCTTTGGGAAGATGTTATCATGAGTTTGGTTGTTTTTTAAGTTTTCATCTTTGCATGTGGTGACTCTGTTTCTCCTCAACTCCTCTATGTTCTGGTATGTGTTTCTTTAAAAGGATTTCTAAAAGGTCTTAGTAACCCTTGCCTGACCTTTTATATTGAAAAGTGAGACACCATATAGGAAACTGAAGCTCTGTGTGAGGGGAGGGAGCCTGCCAGTTGGCAGGTCTTGTGTGGGGGCTCTGGGGATAGGTTTTGAGGGGTTCCCAGATAACAGAACCTACAGATATGTATACTTTCCCTTGATCTGCATTTTCAGGGTGCCCCCTCACTCCCACCCTCTGATGGGCCTGAAGTTCCCAATAAGCTTCATGGTCAGCCTCTCTGGATAGCAACCCCCACTTGTCCTCTGCTAGACAGAGGGAGATGGGTCTCTCTGTCCTGTACACTTTTCGTTTCTTCCTTGCCTGCCCCTACTGTCCTTACGCACCTATGGCTCATGGATCCAGAGCTTCTCTGGCATTTAGAGCACCAGTTGTCAAGCTTCTCGCTGACTTCTGACCATTTAGGGATGTAGATTTCTGGTTTCTCTAGGCTGCTAAGTCAGTAACCATTAGTTTCTGTTTTCTGTCTTCTAGAGCTTTGCTGTCCTCTTCTATCTTTTGCCTTTCTGGGTCATTGGAGTGGCATTTAGGGCATTAGCAGGGATAAAGGAGGCTGCTCCTCCTGAGTCTACTTCCTAGGGAGCCCTCCACTGTAACACCCAGCCCTTCCATAAAGTCCTTGTCCCCTTTGTCTTTCTAGAGGCTTGATATGAAATGGAGGAAGTGGTGGTTCAAGAGCTGCCTGCTCAAAGTGGGGATGGGAAAAGTTTATGAGGGTACAGTTGACTTGAGTGTCTTTTAGGTTGCCAAGAGAAAGCTGGTTAGGTAGTATTTGTGGGTACCAGAGAAGGATGAAGATGGCTGAAGGGCCATGCAGAGGGTGGGGGACAGAGAGAGGGTGGGGAATAGGAAGAGTAAGCTTGCAGCGGGGGACTCATTTCTGCCAGGCATGAGCAGAAGGGGAAAAAAACAGGCAGCAATTCCAGGAAAAGAAAAGCTCGGTGGTGAGCACAGAGTACACAAGGAATGAGACATCCCTCTGCCCTCTGTGAAGGTCAAAGGGAAACAGATTGACTCATAAACAAGTAGCTTCAAACAAACATGGAGCAGGGACTGAGTGGGTGAGTCTGCTGAGAGCATGGTGCAGGGGACCTGCCACAGCAAGGATGTTCATGCTGGGTTGTCTGGCCTTCCCCTAAAATAAGGTATGGTGTTGTCCTTTTGGGATGGGCAGGGGTGCCACTAGGGTAAGGACTTGTACATGGAAAGAGGTTTAGAACCATCTTATGGGGAAAAAGCCTGAGCTTTGGCATAAGAGTGCCAGGACAGAGCAGGTTCTCAGCAAATACTTGTTTTCATTACTAAGAGATTCAACTACAAAGCAAGAAAAGAAACATTTCATCCAAGAGTGATAGCAGGCTTAGGGAGAGCTCAGGTAGAAAGACAAGTTGTGATCAGAGAGACCTGTGGGAGATGGCATTTCCCAGGGAAGCTTATGACCAGGTTCAGGGGCAGTGGTGCTGAGCAGCAGGTCCTCTGAGGACCTTTGCACAGCTCTGTTGAGCTTAACCTGAGTGCCTTGGGTCATGCTAAATGTTATGTCATCTTATGTTGAGGATGAGTTCACCAAATCCTCAACAATCAATAAGATAGGTGGAGTTATCCCCAGTTAGCAAATGAGGAAACTAAATAAGGGAGCTTAGATGAGGGCTCCAGGCACAGAGCCCGGGTGGGACAGCACCAGGAACTGGACCTAAATATACTGGACTCCAAAAGCCTCCATGTCTCTGCCTTTCAGACTGACCCCAAGGCCAAGGGAGGTAACTGTGAAGTACAGTCTAGGACTCAGGTTCTGCAGGGGCAGCAACAGTTTGTAAAAGATCCTACCTCCCTACACTATTTTTGTTTTTCTTTCCACCACTTGTTTTGAATGAATTGTATTTCATAAACCAATTTCTTCTCTTTAAAAATTTTTTTGGGATTTTAAAATGTGGTGGAATAGACAAAACATGAAATTTACTATCTTAACCACTTACATATTTTTTTAAAATTACAGTTGATATACAATATTAGTTTCACGAGTATAACATAAGTATTAGACATTTATATATATACCTTATAAAGTGATCACCCTGATAAGTCTACTACCCATCTGACACCATACATAGCCACCACATTATTAACTATATTCCCTATGCACTGTGTGATATTCCCATATCACTGTGACTGTTTTTATAACTGGCAAGTTATGTGTTTTAATTCCTCAGCCTTTTTCACCCATTCTCTCCAACCCTCCTCCAACCTGGTAACCATAATTTTGTCTCTGTATCTATATGTTTCTGCTGCTTGGTTTATTTTTGTTCTTTATATTCCACATATGAGTGAAATCATATATTTATCTTATTCTGTCTGACATTTCACTTAGCATAATACTCTTTAAGCCCATCTATGTTGCCACAAATGGCAAGATTTCATTCTTTCTATGGATGTGTAATATTCCATTGTATATATGCACAATTTTACCAATGGACGCTCAGGTTGCTTCCATATCTTAAGCTATTGTAAATAATGCTGCAATGAACATGGAGGTACATGTACCTTTTCATATTAGTGTTTTGGGTTTCTTTGGCTAAATACCCAGAAGTGGAGTTGCTGGGTCATATGGTAGTTCTATTTTTTAT